TGATACTTCGAGATCGTTTGGTCACTAGAAAAAATTTCATAAGAGCATTTTTCAAAAAAATAAGCATGTCTTCATTTGTAATGTTATTTTGCAGAATTCTACATTTCATTTTATATTTAAACATTTTACAAGCAATAAAGGATATGACATTATTCAAAACGAAAGTATTTTGGTTAATCCCATGACTGAAACCCACAACAATATTTCTCCAACTAATATCTATACCTATGACTTCAGAGACTCTGTTCCATATTGATTTAACTTGTCTGCAATCAAAGATCAAGTGCTTAGAATTCTCTTCACAGCGACATACAGAACAGTATTTATCAATATCTTTATTCCATTTACTAAGATAGAGATTATTTGGTAACAAGTTATGTAATATTTTGTAATTAAACTCGGCAACATTTTTATCAAGAATATTTTTAATTTTTTCATCATATACTTTTTGCCATTGATTTGAAAAATTAATATCAAATTCTTTTGACCAGATATTTTCCATAATTGGCTTTTGGGACTTTTGTTGTAATAAAATTTTGTAGAAGAATTTTGATGTTTTATCTTCAATATTTTCTTTTTTATTTTGAAATTTAAAGGAAAATGAATTCCATGCGTTGTTAATATTGATATATGGAATATTACACGAATTAATATCATGCCATTTACTAAAGATTATTTTAATAACTAAGTATTCACAAAGATAGTTTTGCGTTTTATTAAGTTTTTTCTGAATTTCTGTGAGAGATTTGAGACCGTTTTCATCAAAAAGATCTTTTACATATTTGTATCCACTTTCGATCCAATTCTTTAAAAAAATCATTTTACCTTTATATTTAAAGTCCTTGTTAAACCATATATTTTCACGTAAGAATTGGTCTGATACATTTATTTCATTTCGTGCTTTACACTGTTTAAACGCACAAAGAACTTCCTTATAAAAGCGAGGTAACTTATAAAGTATATTAAAGTCTGCAATATCAGTAATATTTGATCGCACTAAGTAGGGTATATCAAGTCCTTGTTGCGCTAAATATGCATTTAAAAGTTCTTTCAAGCTACTTTTATTATTTATAATTTTGGAAACCCATGCCGCTTTTAATGCCTTTACTTTCGTTTCAAAGTCAATAATTTTGTAATCGGTATTAGTAAGACTAATTGGTCGATAATTTTCAAGTTTATCTAAAGCATCTTTTTTATGTATTAGAGAAAGAACAGAGCATTTCTGTGTTTTTGATAGTTCACCTTTTTCGAAAGATGCTATTAAAGCATTATAAAAATACTTATTAACGTGTTTCCAAAACATTTTGTAAAATTCTACTGGTAAACCGTCGATTCCGGGAGATTTATTTTGTTTCATTCGATATACTGCTTCTGCGCATTCTTTTAGAGATGGAAATTGGTCGCAATTAATTTTTTCCTCCTCTGTAATTCTGTTTACAAAGTCAATATTATTTAAGTAACTATCAATGTCTTCATTTGAAATATCCTCACTTGAGTAAAGATTTTCATAAAATAAACAAAGTTGATTTAATATGTCATCAGTTTTATTGTAAATCTGGTCGCCTTTTCTTATTGTATTAATAACATTATGTGATTGATGCTTATTTTCAAGCCTGAGAAAATAGGAGGTATTCTTTTCACCTTCATCAATCCATTTAGCCCTCGATCGTATTTGTGCACCTTTAGATTTATATTCATACAGTTTGTCTAATTCGTCTTCTAAATCTTTTTTATGAATCATGTTGATTTGTGTATAGTGACTATTTTCTATCCTTTCGATATCCTTTTCAATACTTTGTATTCTGTTTTTCAAAGATTTATTTTTTTGGGTGCAGAATTGAATACTCATATTCTTTATTCGGTGTTTTATTAGTTCCCATTTAGTGTGGGCGTTATTCTCATTTTCTATATCTTTGGGAAGTTGGGTAAAAAAGTCATTTATCAAAGAACAGTAATCAGGGTCTTGTAGAACAGAGGTATTTAATTTCCAAAAGCCCTTTCCCCTCTCATTAGATGATACGGGACATTTAAAAATTAATGAAAGATGATCGCTCATTCTACATTTAGATACACTTGGTGCTTTACGTAAATATATATTCTTAGGAGTAAAACAAAAAATTTTACTAATAAAAACATAATCTATTCTACTTTTAGGCAAGTCGCTACCGTCACACCACGTTAAACCTGCTTTATCTGATTTCAAGTCTGACCACAAATCATACATATTGAATCTATGTATTAAATCTTTAAAAACTTTCACACTTCTATCTTTATCATTACAAACTTTACAGTTAAGGTCTCCAACAAGTATGATATTTTCATCATTTAATGTGTATTGGGAAACCCACTTCATAACTTTTTTGAAAAATTCTTCTCTTTGATTTTCTGAGTTTGGAGCATATACATTAATAAGAGAGATAACTCTTTTCTCATATTCAATATTCAACAGTAAAATTCTGCTATCAGCAGATCTATGAACATTAAGAATTTTAAACGAAAAATTTTTACTAAATAATATTGAGACACCTTTACTATGTGACGAATCTGAAAAATTATGATAAGAGGAGCCATGCCACCTTGAGTCATATATATTAATTCGATCTTTAACAAAATGGGTTTCTTGTAAAAAAATAATATCACATTTAATATCATTAAGCCATTCATATAATATTAATCTTTTATCATAATTATTCAAACCTCTACAGTTAAATGATAGGAGCTTAATGTTTGCCATTATCTGGATAGTTACCTCTTAAGGTAGCTGTCTAGACCTTGTTGACTTGATTTATTGGTGGAGCCTGCTCTCCTTGGGCGAGACCATGTGCGTCCTGGAGCTTTACGTAGCTTTTCAGCCACTTTAAGCATGATCTTACCCATATTATTTTGACCTGGCCATGCCTCTGGTTTAGTGTGAAGGGTCTGAGTGGCGTTTAAACCGGTTCCCCAGAATTGATCGTACACAGAATGGGCATAGATAGTATCTGCAGTGGAGGAAGTGAGAAGATCCTTCATTTCATTACATTGTTGTAATTTTTCTATAATAATTTCCTCCATGACGGAGGGGGCATCCTTCTGCCAAGAATCAGATGTACGAATAGCTTTTCCAATAAACTTGCACTCTAGTGGAGACTTAGCCTGGCGAATACGTTCCGCTGCCACAAGATCACCGGAGCGCATTGCCTTAGTGAGTTGGAAAGCCTGCTCAGCTGATTTGAAATGCTCTCCAAATACTTTCAGGTCACAGGGGTAGAAGTTAGAAAGGATATTTTGTTCCCCATCGAAGGCTGCCACTTTTGAGTTGTTTTCAATGAACTGGGGGCAAACCTCATCGCCTGGTTTGTGGCCTTCATTTTTACAGACTGAGCACCGGGGTCCATTTTGGCACGCCTTGAAAAAATGACCGGTTTCCCAACAGTTTGTACAAGTAGGGGGCGGTTTTTCTACGAATTGCCCACGGTGGAAAAGAGCTTTGTTGGGTCCCAGAGGTTCTATATATACAAATCTGTTGCCATTTAGGACGCTTGTCATTTTGTTATTTTTAGGGTTCCTAATTTTTTCATATTTAAGATCACTTTTAGGATGGGCCCCAAGCTTATGAAGCATTTCATAGATGGCAGTGTCATCTACAGATAGCGGAACACCGCAAATAGTAATTTTTAATGTTTCGCTTTCTGGATCCTCTAGCACGGCGGAATATGGGTTTGAGTCATAAACTTGAATGTGCTGATTATTTAAATCAAAGCCTTCTATGAGTACTTTGTCTCTGTTTTCCTTATCACTGACATAAATTCTCCATAGGTCACGGTCTAATTGTACGCATTTGACCATGTCGCCTACACAATGCATGACTGCTTCTAATAAATCAAAATTTGTAATTCTTTCATTGGATAATTTTGGCAATTCACTGTCTTTAAGATATACAGGTTTCAGTAGTTGTGCCATTTTTTTCTAACTCAGGGTGCTGCACAAGGTATTACCGTTACAATACCCCGAATGCTTAGTGAAGCTAAGTGAAAAGGTACTCACTGATCAGATATTCACAATAGTCAGGATCCATATATTAATCCATGCAAACACAAAGAAGATACAAAAAGCAAATGTCAAACACTGCTATAAACGTATATACACAATTTGATGCACAAATTTTGCCTCAAAAGCACCTCAAGATGCAAAAAAAGCCAAAAATTAACGGAGCCCAAACGAAAGCGTCCGTTCGTCTCCGTCACGTGACATCAGCTTTCCAATTGCTCCTTGTTGTTTTAGGAAGGATTTCATTGAGAGGTCTTCCACAAAAATAGCATCAATTCCAAGTTCTCTAGATCCACCAATAAAATTGGTTCCTCTATCTGAATAGAATTCCTTCACTTTGCCTCTGATTGATGTGAAGCGACGCAAGGCGTTGATAAAGGAAGATGTGCTCATTTCTTCGATTACTTCAATATGGATACCACGACATGATAAACATGTAAACAACACAGCCCATCGTTTGGAATTCACAGAACCATCACGTGTACGTCGGGTGACAACATTCAAGGGTCCGAAGCAGTCGACGCCAACATAAGTAAATGGTGGGCAAGAAACCAGTCGTTCCTCAGGTAAGTCTGCCATCTTTTGATAAACAAAGTTGCCACGAAGTCTACGGCATTTTACACAACCAGATAAAATGGAATATATCAGTCGTTTGCAGCTCGGTATCCAGTATCCTGCAGCTCTGATAGCTCCAGCAGTCAGATGACGTCCTTGATGACGAATTATTTCATGATAATGAAGCACTAGAAGTTTCGCAATATGGTGTTGATTAGGTATAAGGACTGGATTCTTTTCTCCTAGCGATAATTCTGAACTTCGCTTCAGCCTTCCGCCGAACGCAAAACTCCTGACGAATCAAGGAACGGGTCTAGCCTTGACACTTTCCTGTCTCTTGGTATAGGTTTTTCACTCTTTAGGTTCTCAATTTCTCTACTGTAAGACTCTTGTTGAACCAGTTGAATGATGAATTTTTATGTTTCTTTGTGTAATTTTGGTTGTTCTTCAATGGTTTCACAGTTCACTTTTGTTTTACTTCTAATGAAACGTCTCAGAGTTGAAATGGCTTTCACAAGACTCTTCCAGGTAGAAAATTTACAAAAACGACTCGAGTCCAAAATCTCAGTTGAAATTTGAGTTTTGCCTGAAACAACTTCTTGACGAATTTCTCTGTCACTTTCCGGCTCAATGAGGGGATAAACAGTCTTGGTTTCCTCTGGAACATTTCTCAACCATTGGGGTCCCGTTATCCAGTTTTGTAGAGATGTGGTCAATGCTGTATGTGAATATCTTGTCGCTGTATCTGCAGGGTTTTTATCTGTTGAGACATAGGACCACTGAGATGGAGATGAAACTTTGTGATTTTTTTCTACACGGTTCGAAACATAAACAAAAAATCTGCGGGTGTTATTGCAAATGTATCCTAAGACAATTCTGTTATCACTGTAGTAATGAAACCGATCTCGTGGAATGTTCAAATAGTCATATACTGCTTCTCCTACCTCTGTGGCCAGGACGGCGGCACATAATTCCAGTCTTGGTATGTTGTGACCTTTAAGAGGTGCCAGCTCTGATTTTCCCATAAGGAATCCAATAGAAACTTCTCCCACTCTGTCAATGACTCGGAGATATGCAACGGCAGAAATGGCATGTTCTGATGCATCAGAGAACACATGGACATCCAAGCAATGTGCCTGAGATATGGAAGTAGATACGATCATTCTAGGAACTCTATAGTCGTTAATAGAGTGTAAAGAATCAAGCCAGTTTTTCCATTTTTTCACGTGTTCCTCTGAGAGTGGTTCATCCCAGTCACATCCAGGAGGTACAAGTTCACGATGCAGAATTTTTCCACTGATGGTTGCTGGAGAAATAAATCCAACTGAATCAAACACACGGTTCAGTGTAGATAAAAGACCTCTTCGGGTACAAGGTTTCTCTGCATTAGAGATTTTGAACACAAACATATCACTGTTCAAGTCCCACAACATTCCTAAACTGTGTTGAACAGGTAAGTTGCACATGTCTGTACTACGATTCAGTTCTTTAAGGTCACTTCCTAAGTCATCTGTAGGGAATGATTTCATTACGTTTACACTGTTTGAAATGATTTTATGAAGACGAATATTTCCGTTTTCTTTTAGTGCTGCTTGTGTTTTCTTCATAAGGGTCACTGCTTCAGCTTCTGTGGGAAGGAAGGTAAGTCCATCATCAACGTAAAAATTATTGTAAACAAATTTACGAACATCACAATCACCGACAGCTGATGCTTTATGAAGTCCGTAAGTTGCCACATCTGGAGATGGTGTATTTCCAAATACGTGTGCTTTCATACGATATTGTATCAGAGGTTTTTGAAAGTCATTATCTTCATACCAGAAGAACCTGAGATAATCACGGTGTTTTTCATGAACACGGAATGCATAAAACATCTGCTGAATGTCACCACTGATCGCTATTGCATTCTCACGGAAACGCATGAGGATTCCCACAAGGTTGATTGTTAAGTCTGGTCCAGACATTAACACACTGTTCAATGAAATGTTCTTGTACACAGCAGATAATCGAAAACTCCTCGGATTTGATCTGACTTTTTAGAATTGTACACCATAAAAAGAGGTAAGTACCAGCATTCCCCGGGTATGTCGGATGAGGCAACTTCGGCTGCCCCGCTTGCTAAAACTTTTGACATGAATGCAAAAAAGTGTTCTCTTTTGTGAGGATCTCTCTGCAGACTTGAGTTGAGGATCAAAGCACGTTTCCAGGCCTGTGAATAATTGTTTGGCATCGCTGGTTTAGAATCTTTAAAAGGGAGTGGTGCAGACCAATAGCCTTCAGCATCCTTATGAAACTCTTCATCCATGAGAGTGAGAAATTTGTGGTCATCAACAGAAAGTCCAATCTTGTTGTCAAATGGAGTTTGTAGGAATATGCTGTTATCACTGTCCTTGACACTGATGTTATTCTGACACAATTGGAAGGTGGTACACCGTCCATCATTGAGAATATGCGTTTTGTTTACATTTACTTCCTTTGGGGAATGAACTTTTCCAATACAAACTTCACCAATAATAACCCATCCTAATGATAGAAGTTGGGCAAAAGGCTGACCTATGCTACCAGTTATTTGGTCATGTACATGATGTACATCAGGTAAGTCACGTCCAATAAGGAGTTCAACATTAACTGTACGATCAAAGGGTGGTAAGAACAATGCAATGCGTTGTAGATGCGGATATGAATCAGCGACATCTGAAGTAGGTATTTCAAGGTAATCACTTGGAATTGAATCACATTCAATAACTTCAGGTAAGTTAAATGATGTTCCATCTAAGGATTTCACACACAATCCATTCACACGGCGTCCATTGAATGTAGATACACCAGAGCATGAGGTAAGTGTGTAGGACTTACAGTCTCCCGAAACACCAAGTTGTTCGATCAAGTTAGGGGACACTAAAGTACGGTTGCTTTGGTCATCGATTGTAGCATATGCACGAATTGTTTTCTCTGGGTTTAAAGTAGAAAACACCTCCACCAGAACTATTTTCCCACATGAACGTCCACCAACAGAATTTCCACACAGCTGAGTACAACACGATTTCACTGTTTCATCATTTTCTGGAGATGGCTCCCCGCCATTGTCCGAAGTAGTTTTGACTGCGATTACGGCCGTGTGTGACAGAGGTCTTTGAGGACGACGATCAATATGCATCGCTGTGACATGACGAGAATTACCACATACATCACATTTTATGTCTGCCGTACAATTTTTAGACATATGACTCTGTGAAGCACAACACCGGAAACACAAATTCTTCTCACGTAAGATCCTTTGACGCTCTTGTAGTGATTTTCTTTTGAAGCCACGGCATTCATTCAGTGTATGTCCAGCATTGTGTATGGGGGCAACGAGTTGGCGGTGTTAGTGACGAAATTTCAGCTTTACGAGAGGTGGCATTGCCAGTAGATCTAGGCGTGCTGTACGCTACCTGTGGGTTTGTGGACTGTTGACAAATAAGTCCTGGGTCATTACGCATATCACACATTTCACGGATGAAATTGACAAAGTATGAAAATGGGGGAAATGGTACACAATTCCGTTTCTTATATCCAGCAGCTTGAGTAGTCCACTTATCTTGTAGAGATGTTGGTACCTTGCTAACTATCGGTAGAACTCCAGTGGAAGAGTTGAAGTAGCTGAGAAGAAGGTTATACTGTGGATTTGCCATAGCAGATTCAATTTCTGTAAGAATGTCCACTAGATCATATAATTTGGCATGATCTCTATTCGTAAGGTTTGGAAACAAGTGTACTTTCCTTTTAAGAGCATGTTCAACCATCTCTGGTCTTCCATATCTATCATACAGTCTATCCCATATGCGTTTCAATCCCAGATGTGGATCGTGGGTGTTTGCTGAGCGTAGTGTACGTGCAAACTTTGACGATTCTGGGCCCAGCCATTTCACGAGTAAATCCATTTCCTCTAATGGTGTGACTCCAAGTTCTGATACAATGCTGCGGAATGAAGAAGTCCAAGAGTTGAAACTTTCTGGACGATCATCAAAGTTTGTGAATCTTGTGAGGAGAAAATCCTTGCGCAACAGAAACTTAGAAAAATCGGTTATTGCTGAAGTATTAGACACTACTTGAGGAGCAGGATTAGGAGGTATAAACAATGGCGGAGCTGGATTTGAAGGAATAAACATTTGTGGCACAGAATTTGGATGCACATACATAGCTGAAGTTTGAGAGGCAGGAAGTGGATTGGTACTCACAGGATTATACACACTGATGGGTGGGTTGTGTATTGTGTTTGATGGGTTTTGTTCAAAGCTTCGTTGATTTTGTTGAACGTTGTCAATACCAGTATTTGCAGAATTATGGTTCATTATATAAGCACTGGTCAATTGTTCTTTTGTAGAAACTGGAAGATCTATTTTATGTTCTTCTGATAAATCTGCTTCCGCTGAGAGAATTTCTTTTTCTTGTCGAACAATGCTTATTGTTGTTTCAATGTCGGTCTTTTGTTTTAAAAGTTCACCCTCTTTTTTAATAAGTTCTAGTTTGGCCTTTTCAGCTTGTGCTTTAGCTCTCTGAAGACTGCTCGAACTTGACACATGAGGTAATGTTTCCAGTAATTCAAATTTTGTTGTTTCAAGTTCATTACTTGTTTTCTTCACTATTGAAATACACTTGTTCACAAACATACCAAATTCTTTCCACATATTGCGAGCATCTTCAGTGTTTTGAGAATCAAGATATTTCTTGTAATCTTCTGAGACAATACAAAATTCTTTAAATTTCACATTGAGTAAGCGTTCTACTTCCCTTATTTTTCTGAAGTCTTTTTCACACGAGCCTGAAGTTACTAAGACATCCTCTACTTCATTCCATGCTCTGTCCACTTTTCCCTTTAGTTTTTTACACTGGTCTTGAAACATGGTTTGGCCTTTCTCTGTTAATGTCCGTACTCGTCTACCAAGGGCGTCAGCCATGTGAAAGTAACGAAACCACTATCTTTTTACTATTCCGCCTGGTGCAGGCAGATAGCTAACCATTGACATTGTACAACACATGAGAAGTCAAAGTCACACGAAATAAATTTATTCTTCATGTTGTGTGGGTCATGAGTGTACACTGTATGAGTATGAGTGCACGAGTTTGTTTGGTAAAAAGCTACAAAAAATATAAACAAATGCTTACAAATAAAGTACAAAAAAATAGTTCAAACAGATATAGTATTTAAACACAAGTTGTAAAAAAGTATTACAAAATTTAGTGACCAAAATGACATGCCATACTTTAGAGAATGTTTTTACCATAAGAAAACCTTTTTTATCTAAATAGAAACTTTATAAAATACGTTCAAATAATGTGAAAATATAGCTCAAAAATAATATAAAAAGACTTACATAGTGGTTTTAGGCACTCAAAATGTCTGATGCATTAGGATTTCTAATTAAGAAATAGCCACACCAGGGCTGCCCGGCTGGTCAAGCAGGTCAACAGGAAGTGAGTAACATTGGAGTTAACTCATACCAAAAATAGATACATAATCATAGTATTTAAGTTGTACCATGTAAGTTTTCAACAACAATAATAATAATAGACAACACAATCGAGCTCTTCAAACCGCACGTGATATATTTGGTACGTCTAGACTCTGACATCACATGACGTCGTATGTAATGTTTTATTACCGAAACAAAGTCTGAACAGTGCTAATTTTGATAAAGAACATTAAAGTTAAATTAAAGCTACTATTAATCTGCTATATATCCATTAAACCAAGGTGAGTTAATTTATTTCTTTTTGGAACTTCTGGGTACCGCAAGAACGTACTTTGCGGCGAGATGCAATTCGCATAGCATTATGGGACCACAGGTAACTGCGGAAAAAAAAATCGTTTGGATCAATGTGCAAAGTCCGAATTTTCTCTTCGCCCAGGCGCAGTGACGAGCGGCGCTTCGCGTCGATCGCTGCGCTCGCTATAAAAGAGTAATATATATGTTGACGGTACGATCGTTGGGGCGAGCGCATTGTTCACTTCATTCGTTAAGATCCGCCTCTTCAAACCGCACGAGACATTTGCAACGTCTAGACTGTGACGTCACATGACGTCGTATGTTAGCTGCATTTCCATAAATAAAGTTTAAAAAGTGCACTGATTTTAACAAAGAACGTTTAATCTACTATCTGTTTGCAATATCCATTAAATTAAGGTGAGTTTATTTTTTGTGAATTTTTAGTTGTTGTTACCGCGCGAACGAAGTTAGCAGCGAGAACAAGAAGCGATGCATTGTGGGTCCAGAATTACTGCGGAAAGAATGTGAATTAGTCCGAATTTTCTCTTCGCCCAGGCGTTGTCGTTAGAGCTCGCAGTGACGAGCGGCGCTCCCGCTCGCTGCGCTCGCTAATATGTTGACGGTGCGACCGTTGGGGCGAGCGCATTGTTCACTTAATTTTAAGATCCGCCTCTTCAAACCGCACGAGACATTTGCAACGTCTAGACTGTGACGTCACATGACGTCGTATGTTAGCAGCAATTCCATAAACCATAGACATATAATTTAATTTTGTTCGTATTCTAGCATCTGATTGGTTAATATCCAAAAAGGAATACAAATTATTTCTGTATAACCTGGTTTGGTATGGGAACACACCCCCCTGACAACCAGCCGAATCGTCTGTATCCATGCAATCCTCTCATTTCCAGTCCTCCTGATTCATGGAAAATTCCAGATTTAATAAATGTACCTTTAACTTCAAACAGTAACTCGGATCTTACCACATGTAAACAAAAAACATGGCTGTTAGGACTATGTATCAGTTTTTACCTCCCCTCTCTTCCCATCACTTCTGTTACTTCCGTTACTATGGTTGTATTATTGAGCGGCAAATTTGAACTAATAAAAAGCAACGAAATTTTACACCCATAGTTATTTAATGATTTTAAAATTAAATTATAAGGAATGACTCTAATTCTTGGCCAAATTATTCGAGTATAACCTGGTTTGGGTCAGTTTACGCTGTTTTATAATCCGCTTCGCGGATTATAAAGCGTAAACTGACCCAAACCAGGTTATACTCGAATAAATTGGCCAAGAATTAGAGTCATTCCTAAAATAAGAGAAGTTTGAAAAGTGCAAAAAATTTAACAAAGAACGTTTAATCTACTATCTGTTTGCAATATCCATTAAATTAAGGTGAGTTTATTTTTTGTGAATTTTTAGTTGTTGTTACCGCGCGAACGAAGTTAGCAGCGAGAACAAGAAGCGATGCATTTTGGGTCCAGAATTACTGCGGAAAAAAATTCTATTGAATGAATGTGCAATAGTCCGAATTTTCTCTTCGCCCAGGCGTTGTCGTTAGAGCTCGCAGTGACGAAGCGCCGCTCGCTATTAAGATGGTATTTACAAATGTGTCTTCTGAAATTAACGTACGTAGTAAGCATGGCAAAGCCTGCCTCATGAGCAGATGAGGGGCCCACCTTATGTATGCATTTCATTCGTTTCGATCTAATAAACAGTTCATGTAGGATCCTATTTTTACTATATAAGACTAAAGGAGTTGTAAATATGTCTTTCTATAATTATTTCATCTTGAAAAATATAATTCAGATGTCGTTTCTTCATTCCTTTTATTTACCATCTAGCGTTAACCTTTTATTTATGGAGTAAATTTCGTGACCATAACATTAGATTCATGTATATGAAACTCTAATCATTTTAGATATGGCTTGGTTTAATTAAATATTGTTTATACATGTACACTCTTTCCAAATAGTGTTGAAATCTTTAAAATTGGCTTATGGTATGGCTTCCTGAGACGTCCAATGTACTTTTCTTTAGTTAGGCCCTTGAAAATAGGTTGTTTCTTTGCTTTGGAATACCTTTTAAATTTTGCTGACAACATTTGAACACCTGCCTGGTGGAGGGCTCCTAATTAAGACTTTTACTCGGCACTTATGGTCATTGATCGTTAAGAATCAGTAAGGGGTCTTTTTCGTGCCAACATCTACATGTATACTGCGACACTGGACCTGCGTTTTTTACGGTCTCATTCGACTGACCAGTCTCCACGTCCCACGTCGGGACCTGTGACTTAGAATAAGCTCCTTAACTGCGTCGTGATTCCAAAACGAAACACTAGAGTCACTGCGCCACGCGAGGCCCTTGACAATTTGTCTGTGTACGTACTCGAAGATGATATTAGGTTTGAAAAATATACTCGGATGTCCGATGGTTGAGTATTTGCGAATCTTGTGTCTTTGTTAATATTCGATTTCAATAAAATTACGCTGGCCTGAGATATTTCACAAGTTCAAACGAATAATATTTGTGAATTAATTTACAATACATGTTGCTGGCATATAGCATCTATGGGTGAAGGGGAACAAAATTTGTGAATTTCATGTTCCCTGCCCCCCTGGGGCCTGAGGGGTGGGGCTAAAACCACCAAAAATAATGCAATCTTTAAAAATCTTCTCCTTTACTCCCAGACATCAAGCAGTCAAACTGTTGACATCATTGTAATAAGCATTGAGCCCTCTACCAAAATTGTGAAATTCATGGCCCCAGGGTCAGGGGTTCTGGCCCCAGGGTGGGGCTATATAGATCATATAGTGAAAGTGCATTATTTCTTTGAAAATCTTCTTCTCTGCTCCTGGGTATTAAATACGGTAACTAAGTACATAGTTATGAAGAGCAAGAGTGCCTCTTCCAAAATTGTGAAATTCATGGCCCCAGGGTCAGGGCTTCTGGTGTTAGGGCGGGGCTCTGTAGATTATATAGTGAAAATGCATTTATTCTTTGAAAATCTTCTTCTCTGCTCCTGGGTATTAAATAAAGTAACTAAGTACATAGTTATGATGAGCAAGAGTGCCTCTTCCAAATTGTGAAATTCATGGCCCCAGGGTCAGGGGTTCTGGCCCCAGGGTGGGGCTATATAGATCATATAGTGAAAGTGCATTATTTCTTTGAAAATCTTCTTCTCTGCTCCTGGGTATTAAATAAGGTAACTAAGTACATAGTTATGAAGAGCAAGAGTGCTTCTTCCAAAATTTTGAAATTCATGGCCCCAGGGTCAGGGCTTCTGGTGTTAGGGCGGGGCTCTGTAGATTATATAGTGAAAATGCATTTATTCTTTGAAAATCTTCTTCTCTGCTCCTGGGTATTAGATAAAGTAACTAAGTACATAGTTATGATGAGCAAGAGTGCCTCTTCCAAAATTGTGAAATTCATGGCCCTGGGGTTAGGGGTTCTGGTATAAGGGCGGGGCTCTATTGATTATATAGTGAAAATGCATTAATTCTTTGAAAATCTTCTTCTCTGCTCCTGGGTATTAAATAAAGTAACTAAGTACATAGTTATGATGAGCAAGAGTGCCTCTTCTAAAATTGTGAAATTCATGGCCCCAGGGTCAGGGCTTCTGGTGTTAGGGCGGGGCTCTATCAACTATCTAGTGAAAATGCACTAATTCTTTGAAAATCTTATCTGCTCCTGGGTATTAAATTAAGTAACTAAGTACATAGTTATGATGAGCAAGAGAGCCTCTTCCAAAATTGTGAATTTCATGGCCCCAGGGTCAGAGGTTCTGGTGTTAGGGCGGGGCTCTATTGACTTTATAGTGAAAATGCATTAATTCTTTGAAAATCTTCTCCTCTGCTCCTGGGCATTAAGATGATAAACTAAGTACATAGTTATGATGAGGAGGTGGGCCCCTTCCAGAATTGTGAAAGCCATGGCCCCTGGGTCAGGGGTTCTGGTGTTAGGGCGGGGCTGTATTGATTATATAGTGAAAATGCATTAATTCTTTGAAAGTCTTCTCTGCTCCTGGGTATTATTTAAACAAACTAAGTGCATGGTTATGATGCATAAGGATGCCTTTTCAAAAATTGTGAATTTCATGGCGCCAGGGTCAGGGGTTCTGGTGTTAGGGTGGGGCTCTATTGATTATATAGTGAAAATGCATTGATTCTTTGAAAATCTTCTTCTCTGCTACTGGAGATTATTTAAACAAACTAAGTGCATGGTTATGATGCATAAGGATGCCTTTTTAAAAATTGTGAATTTCATGGCCCCAGGGTCAGGGGTTCCGGTGTTAGGGCGGGGCTCTATTGATTATATAGTGAAAATACATTGATTCTATGAAAATCTTCTTCTTTGCTACTGGAGATTATTAAAACAAACTAAGTGCATGATTAAGATAGGCAAGGATGCCTCTTCCAAAATTTTTAAATACATGGCCTCAGTTTTTGGGGTTCTTGGGGGGGGGGGGGGGGGGGCTCTATTGATTATATAGTGAAAATGCATTAACTCTATTAATTAATCATTAACTAATCCTGTCTGCTCCTTAGTGTTGAGCTGATAAATAAATTGCTTAGCTATGATGAAGATGGGAGCTTCGAACAGAATTTTTAAATCTTGTGGTCCTAGGGTCAGGGGTTCTGGCATAACGAGGAAGGGGGGGGGGGGCTTTTGATAATATAGTGGAAAAGTGTTAATTCTTTGAAGTCCATAGTTATGATGATGAGGGTAACTCTTCCAAATTTGTAAATTTCTTGACCTTTGGTCTTGGGTTCTGGTGTTAGGGTAAGGCTTTGTTGAATCTGTAGTGAAAATGCATTGTACCTGTGAAATTCTTCTCTGCTTCTGGGCATATTGGAAGCAAACTGAGTAAAAGTTTAAATGATATAAGTAAGCGTATTTCTACCAGATTTTTGAACATCTGGACAATTTGTCTAAGCATTCTGGTCCTGGACAGGGCTCTATTAATTTGTATTCTACTGAGAGAAGTTATTCCCCTTTTCCATTCACCTTTGATAATTAATCACTGTAAATAATGTATTTGAAAGATTAATAGAATAAGATAATTATGCAAGAATGTTTATCGTATAATTCAAAAAGTACTTTCTTAGTTTTAATAATCAGGCAGACCTGTAAGTAATAGATAAATAAAAATGAGACAAAAATAACTTATCTTATTAAAAGTTCTTCAAAGACCATAAGAGAGGTCAATGCTAGAGGTCTTAATATGGGTTTAAAAATAGTACAGAAGCACTAATAGTTTGTTAATAGTCTGCATGGTGATAATGTTAAGTGGGGGATAGATTAGAACTTAAGTTATGAGTTGATACTGAATACTAGACTAATTATTTTGTTGATCCTGATCTTCCTACTTCTCTTGCTTTAGGGCAACAAAGCTTCATCTATCAGTGTATTTAACTTCTAAATTGTTGTATTATACTCAGGTGACCGTTAAGGACCTTGGGCCTCTTGTTTATTACATGTGCAAGTGGGTTACAAATCAATGTAATTTTTTCTGCAACGATTGCAACCCTAATTCACCTTTAAATAAAGAAAGACATTTTGATTTGTTTTCTTAATTCATGTATATGGTTTTTTTTTGATTATTCATGAAATGATAAATTATTTGAGTACATTTACCTGTATTTGCTAAGTCAGTGACTTTTAGGCACTGTAGTCTACCATGCATTGGGTACATGTTTTCTTTTTGATAGCTCAGATAGTAAAACAGCTGGCATGAAATTCCCTGATCTTGTGTCCACTTTAAAGTGGTGGTTTATCAGGCCTTCTTATATTATATAGGACTGGTTGATGAGGGAGAATCTCCAGAAACAGCAGCACTGAGAGAGCTGTATGAAGAAACAGGATACACTGCCAGTGTTAAGCATGTATCTCCAGGTAAATTAATGCTTGGTATATGACAGATGTTTGCAACAACATTTAAAAGAAGTAGACCAGTCTGCTTTGTCAAAGAATTTTTTTCTTCATTCTAATTTCCCAGTTTTAATGTACTATGTTGTAGACATAGAATTGAGCCAATTTAAGTTACTTACTCTAAAAATAATTCTCTGGACTCTTGTATCTGACAAGTGCTTGCAAAATGAAACTAAATGTGGCATGGTATTAGTTAAGCATGTTAAGTGATTTTTTTGAGTAGGAAAACCTTTATATATATATATATATATATATATATATATAAGCCAAGAAAAATCACAGGTATGTAATGAATAACTATATTGCTAAAAGTGAATTATAGGTCCGATGGGTCGGATGTTGTATGATTATTTGTCTGATGAATGTAAAATTATGATATACACAAGTCACTATAATGAATTATTTACTTACTTACTTCCTTATATATTATACTTACCTATCATATAACCCCTGACAAAGTCCATGTTGAATACATGGTGATCAAAATTATTTTTGGTACACCTGAGCCAAAAGCTCAAGTGAGTTTTTCTGTTAAACATTTGCCTATGTCTGTTAGAATAATTTGTCTGGCATGTCCTCTGTTAACTTTTCACATATTTGATATCTTCTCAAGAACCAGCTGGATGAATTTCAGCCAAATTTGGCATAAAGCATCAAATGAAGAGTAAGTCTTATATCAAGGAGAGAATTTAAAATAGAAAATAGGGTAGGATGACTAGGATCATATCAAAATCTTGTTCTCAAGAACCACTGGGCCTTAGCATAGGACAAGTAGAAAATTCATTTATATTTGGCTCTTGAATGAATATGTAAGGCATTTATTAAAGATTTATAATATGTAGTTTACATGTACTTAATTTTTTCTGTAAAAGTTTTATTGTTGATGGGATTCATGAAGCTTGCAAACAATAATATTTTTAATGGCATTTTACAAAGATAATTTTTTTGTTACAGCCTCCTGCCTTGATCCTGGTATAGGAAACACAACTGTTCAGCTTGTGTCTGTAGAGGTAGGGAAAGTAGTTCGTTTTTCACCTTCCTCACCCTCCCCCATAGGCACAAACATATATTATTACCTAACCTACTATATAAATTGTAATTATAAGCATTTTGAACTGTTTCCTGATTCATTTTCATGTTTTTGCAAATCATGAAACAGTCAAAACTGTTTACCCAGTCACAGAATGAACTGTTGCATGGCTGAATTGATCCATTATGATGTCATAATTAATTTCCCATACTTTACAGCTATAATATTGAATTATTTATAAATTGAAGCATTTTCATGGCATCAAATTTGAAATTATCATTTGAAGAGTAATCCTGATACCCATATAAATATATATTCATTTAATATCACTTCAAAGAAGAGGCCAAGAACACCTTTTCTGAGGGTAATATAGGAAAAATGTAGGCCCCTTTCACTCACTATAGATCTTTGCATTAAACATCTAATTCAGCGTGTTATATTCAAAACCTCAAGTCATCTTGATGTTGTTTACTAAACAATACATGTAAACATCAGTTTATTAGTGCAAGATAATACATGTACCAAGAAATAATACAAACTTTTGTCGATGAGTCTATATCATTACTTTAAGAAATTATATAGTAGGTTAGATAATAAAACACTTATTTCATGACAACTCGAGGAACAGTCAAACTGTTGTCCCTCGATAATGGGGAAGACCTGGGAAACTGTTGCCCAGGTCTTCCCCATTACCTCGGGACTGTTCCCCTTGTAGTCATGAAATAAGTGTATACACACTTCTCCTTGATTTATTGCTCAGTAAAAAAAAAATTGATGAAAGATTTGAAAGAGCAATTCCACAAAAGATAACAATATGTGGACCACTGGGTAATGGGAATAGAAATTTTTTTTATAACTGTTAAGCTCTATGTCCATCACGTAACCGTCACAGTAGCTCAGTCAATAGAGTGCTCGCTCCATGATCGGAAGATCGTGCGTTCCAATCACGGCCGCAATTGACCTTCTCATGAGGTTTAAAAATGGCGCCGATCGGATGGGACACATAGTGAGCTTGGTCATGTTTGGGGCCTTAAACAAGTTATATTTATCGCCATATGGACGTCTAGTGTGACCTTCCCTGTCTTCTGTATCTGAAATGTGTGACTTTTGATGTTTTTGGGAGATATAGGAGGTATAGGACACACGATATATTAGACTTTGACTTTATCGTGAGTAGTGGTTACTTTCTATTTATAGAATATGTCACAGAACACCTCAAGTGAAACACGAGAGCATGAATTTTCTTGTGTGTCCAGTTTGTGTTTATTTGTGTGTTTTTGTTTAGTTGTTAACAATTTTGCTGCCATTATGTCGGAAAGAGCCACTAGGGCATCTGCCTCTATGAAAATTGAGTCTAGCCCCCAAAGTTTGCATACCAGTCAGTAGAGCGCTCGCTCCATGTTCGGAATGTCGTGCATTCCAATCACGGCCGCAATTGACCTAAGTCAATAAAAAATAGGTAGCAACTGTTCCTTCGCTATGAGACCTTAAAAACCGAGGTCCTGTGTCATATGCTAGGTTTTGGCACAATAAAGAACCTTCACTGCTCAATGGCCCTAAGTGCCAAGTAAAGGTCTAAATTTGAAGCCCTTCACAGGTATATGGTGACGTCTCTATATGAGTGAAAAACTCAAGAAAGGGTCATAAAACAACAACAATCAATCAATCAAAGACGTATCATAGGTCTGGAATGTTTTTGCTGCATCATTGAAAGACTCTTTTTCTTAACAAACATTTTGATGACTCAATTAAAAAGTTATTAAATGCCCTCAGCTCAGAAGTCAGAAACAAAAGTAACTACAGTGTCTATTTTCCAGCATCCCTACTCTCTTTTTACTAAGTGTACAATAGGACATGTATTTTAACATTGCTTACATGTATTTTGACTAAAATGCCCGAATGTCACTCTTATGGCTCTTTTCAATATAAACTCTTAATGCTTTAGTAAATGCAAGATACATAACTCTTATCTTGCTGAAAAGTTTAATGTTATTGTGCAGAAGGAAAAATGATGCTGTACAAATATCAATATGAAAATTACATCCACAGAATGTATCCAATGAAATATAAAAAATATATTGCGTGGAAACTATCTTTTGTATAAGATATTGTGGAATTTCTTCTTCACAGATTGATGGCAATGATGAGAAAAATGTCAATCCAAAGCAGAAAACAGGTTAGTGCTACTCTCTCTGTCTTTGATATTACTGGTTTTTCACTTTGCATAAAAATATCACTCTCTCTCTCTCTCTCTCTCTCTCTCTCTCTCTCTCTCTCTCTCATCAAAATCTCTCTCATGAAAATGTCAATTTCAGTCACTGATTTTCTTTAAATTATTGACTATTAACAGTATTTCTTTTTTTTTTCACTGGTAATAGATGAGACAGGTTAGTGGGTTTTTTTTTTTTTGGATAAAATTGAATTATTTAATTTTTTTAAATAATAATTGACATTGACAATGATTATTTCTGTTTTTTGTGTAATTCTTTCAAAACCCTTTCTTTCATACAAGAACAATTCTAACCTGATAACCCATTATGAAAATTTAAAATATGTGTCAGCTTTAAATTTACCAGGTTCTCATACCAGTTAATTTGCATTTTATCATTATTGCTAGCATGATTTGAGTGTAAAAATATGTTTGAAAAGAAATAAATAAAAGCTTGTTTTCTAAAACATAAGTTCTTACACATTTTTGATATTGTTGAGTATGATTTAAGCTGTGTACCAATAACACTTATAATTTAACATTGTTTAATGTAGAGTTTATAGAAGTTGTTTTGATACCACTTGATGACCTCTTAGAAAGACTGGATGGTAAGCAGTTGATTAACATTTCAGGAAATGTCATCACTATACTGTTACTGTACATGTACTGTTAATGTTTTAGTCATTGCTGTATTGATGCATTACATGTATATCTTTTCTTTAGAATATTCCAGAAATGGACACAGTGTTGATTCACGAGTTTATTCATATGCATTAGGCCTACAGCCAAGGATATCTTGAATCTTTGTACTTATTTATTCATAATTAAGAAATAAATATATATCTTTACCAACTGTTTAGTGTTACAATAATTAAGCTTGATACATGTTAGTAGATGTTTGTTTTTGTCAAAGAAAGGTTTTCTTTTTGATATTTAAAAAAAATTGTTGTAATCACTGTACTAATTAAGTGCAGTAATCTAGTAGAAGAACGTTTAGAAATAAGGCTGAGGTAAGACCTGACATATTCATTTGGTGCTAAAAAAGTCCTGAAAGTTTTTTTTTTTTTTTTTTTTTTTTTTTTTTTTTTTTTTTTTTTAATAATAATTAAGCTGTGTGCCATTTAAAATGTATTGTGCAATTTATCTTTTTTTGTGGAAAGCAAATAAAAATTATGCTTTTTAGAGATGGCCAGTTTATAAAATGTTCATGTATTGTTTGGAATTAGATACATGTATCTAGCTAAATGCCATGCTCATACAGTCACTTTTATCTACAAGAGATGTTAAGAAATCGTATAAAGGATTAGAATCTGGTTTAGAATGATTAACAGAAGTGAAGGAGAAACTTCAGAAGTACTGCACAAAAATATATTTGAGAAGTGGTGTAAATCAGATGTGAATACTTAAAAAAAAAAAAAAAATCACAAAATTTTGCAAAATCTGGAACATCTAAACATACTTTTCAGCACTTTTTTTTCAATCAATCCCATTGATAAAGTTCATGCTTTTTGGCATCAAAGAAGCTGCTTTTTGATAAACATTGGTCATTTGCAAAATTATTTTATCAAAAACATTCTCATTGTACATGCACTTACATGTAAGTACTCCAAAGCTGATATTAAGGAAATGCTTTAGTTTCTTATTGACAATATCCATGTAGTGTTTGGGGATCAAATCTTCCAACAATCTTTTGGAATTCCCGTAGGCCTCGTTATTAGCAGACCTATAAATGTTGTATTGATATGAAGCAGAATTTATTCAAAAACTTCGAAATGAAAAGAAGTCTCTTGCTGTGGCATTCATTTCGACATTTAGATGCATCGACGACGTTTTATGAATTAATGATATTCATTTTCATTCCTACGGTGATTCTATATATCCCTTTGAACTCGAGGTGAAAGAAACCACAGAGTCTTACACATTTCTTTCATATTTGGATATTTTGCTAGAAAAAGACATTTATAGCAACCTTACAACAAATCTTTATGATAATATTGATGATTTCAACTTTTCTATCGTACGCTTTCCTCATTTATGTAGGAATTATCACCTGCATATTGAGTCTATGTCTCCCAGTTGATTCGATACGCAAAAGCATGCTCTACGTACAAACAATTTCTTTAACACAAGCTATTGACAAATAAGTTGATGATATTAGGATATCAACAGTTCTATTTAAAGTCAACATTTTGCAAATAATATGGTCGATACAATGACCTTGTCAGCAAATGCAATCGATCATTCAGTCGAATCTTGACTGACTTTTTCAAAAAAAAAATTTAGACAATTATTTTCACATTGAATTGTCTACGGAATTTCCCTTTACCCTAACATGGTGGGTGTAACAGGCCAGCAGGGGGTGCTCACTCCTCCATGGCATCTGATCCCGAATTTGATGTTTTTAGAGTTCAATGTTTGCTCTGCTCCCATTTTGTATTGTATGGACTTTTGAGCTTTAGTAAAGTTCGTTATCTTCATATACATGTATTTCATTGAATAATTCATGTAGTTTGACATCCCTTGCAAATTAATTCACTCAAATGAGACCTTTGGATGCTGTTTAAGGGCAATTTTTACCTTAAAGTGAACAATTGCAACATATTTGTTATTGACTGAGGGCGAAAGTACATGTACGACCTTCCTCCGATCGCAGAGGAAGCTAGCGCTCTACCGACTGATCTATCGTGCGGGAAATATAAATAAAAATTGAAGAACTCAGTCTATGTTAACGGAGAAGTACGAATTTTAAATAAATTAAGAAATAGTAACACTGAAAGGCTGTATTTATCTCATCTATATTCATTAGTAAAATCTTCTTTTAAAGATTCATTTGTAAGGCAAAACAATGTGTTTTTATGTTCTGTTAATATAGTTACCAAAATTCAGCAAGTACCCAACTGTGACAATGCTTTAATTAAATTACAACCATGTCAGATTTCATAACATTTTAGTATTAAACTGAATACATTAAATATTTATACAGTCAATTAAATGACGTTCTAGAATTTTATTAAATTTTATAACATATCACAACGTGACTTTAATAGTACTGATTAATCTTTATCACGTTACATAACATGAGGTTTTTAATTACACATCCAATATCTTTTAGTCCACGTTTCATCACAACTATAGAGATTTCCAGATTTATAGGGATAGAGAGCATGTTGCCATTTAGTGCAATCTTCAAATTTAGATTTAGAAAAATAACTATTTCAAGTTTTTTTCTTTGAATACGTGGCAAATCGAAGACCATCAAAACTATTCCTGGTGTATTTTAATTTGCTGACACTACCGACTTCTTTGTCTTCTCTGGAGCACGGAAATTAATCCGTGGTCTGCACTTTGTTAATTATAAAAGATTGAATGCTATAACCTTTTCATAACGTTTGCTATTCACAACGGTAACTATTTCATATATATGTACTATGCATATGACAAACCTTTATTGGAGACATTTTGTACATTTACGCTGATTCTGCTTTTCTTCCTTAACAGTTAATGTGCTTGATCTTATGAAGCCAATTGATGAATAAGACTTTTTTATTTATTTATTTATTCTATTTTTTTTTTTTTTTTTAATTTTTGAAAGTTGCAGATATTTCTGTCATGTTAGTTTCGTAAAATTATTGAAACGCATTTTATTTTCATTTGCAACATGTAAATCCTTCTCAACCATTCAGGCATTTTGTCTTAATTAAGCTTGAGAATTTTTTTAATTATGAATTGGCGTTCATGTCCGTCCGTCCGTCTGTTAGCTTTTTCGTGTCCGGCTCATAACTTTAATACTATCAAGCCTAGAATTATATTATCAAACTTGAACAACTGATACATCTTGGGTAGAAGGTGTGTCGCACATTAAAAGTAGGTCACTCTAACCTTTAATTAAAAAGCTATGGCCAAAATGGAAAAAGTCCTGTCCGGCTCATAACTAGAAAACTATTAGACATAGAATCATCAAACTAGGCCAATTTGTGCATCTTAGATAGAAGGTGTGTCGCACCCTACTTCAAGGTCACCATGACCTTAAATTTAAGTGAAATTTAAAAAAAAAAAACTGTCTTCAATCATTTAAATCACACAATCCCAAAAGATGTAAGAGTATGGCAGTAAAAGAAAAGTAAAGAATAAAAGTAATTTGTTTTGATGTTTTATTAGGCTGTAGCATTGTTAATCAATCATAAAAACACAATAAACAAGCTGCAGATGGGCATTTGTTAAGCTCTAACATAACCATTTGAGAAATACATGATGTAGTATTTGTTATAATTAATACCTATACCACTGGAAATGTATGTACATCAAACATTATAAGGAATGGAATAATCACTGAAATCTTTGTATCAAAGTTAACATGATTTTCTTGCACTTTAAACTGTTTATGATAATTGAATAATATTTGACGGGCGTATCATACTGTGGCGGGTCACTTTATTTTTTTTTTTTTTTTTTTTTTTTTTTCGTTTCTAGGATTAGTATACTTGGGAAGGAGGACATAAATGACAGAAACGTTTTGTTGAAGGATTTTCAAGACGTTCAACAGACAATTTCTATGTAATAATCACCGAGACCTCCTTGTCGTTAAAATTAGACTATAAAACTATCATTACCGAAATGATTAAATCGAAATAAAAGAAATGTGTTTGTTGGTTTTGCTGTAATGTATATACATTACTAGTTATTGACACAAATGTTTTATGAGTATTTTCATTAACATGCTATGGCTTATCGAGGGTTTTGAGTTAACTGTACACAATAAAACATAAGTGAGTTCTGTTAAATTAGACATTACGTAGAATTTTATTGAGAAATAAACATATGAGGGTAAAGTGGACTTCAAAGGCTTATTGAGCTAGTAATAAACCACACTCTTTCTTATTGAAAATCTGGGTACATGTAAGAATGGTTAAGTGCTCTGCACATAAAACGGGGTTTATTTTTTCAACGAAAAGTGCATCTGTTTTCAGCATTCAACTTTTCTCATCAACGACGCTAATTTGTCCATCTGCAATAATTTACAAGAATCTGTGCAGATATTACGAATAACACTGTCTTAAGTCATAAACCTGATGAATTTCCTTGCCCAAAATATTTTTCTTAGACCATCAATAGTCTATTTATGTAGTGTTACAACTCTCATTTTAAATATAAAGTCTATGAAAATAACTATTTCTGATAAATTTGGTAAAACTTGAAAAAGAGAAAAAAATCTCTATACCAACTTTTAAAAGCGAGAGATGGTAGGTGCATTTCACTTAATTAAAAATTCCTGTATTATTGAAAATCATATCCTTAATATACCAAATTATTATTTCTGTGATAGAAGGGTTTCTAACTTAACCATTAACAAAGGATAATTTCTTTCATATCTGCCTATATCAATAAACGCTCGATAAAGATTTATCGCACTCTTCAGAATCTCAAGAAAAGAAATTAAAATCAATCTATTTTTTTGGAAAAGATGTTAGACTGGAATGTTGTAATACGCTACTGATTAAACATTTTTTTAAAAAAAATATTATAGTTTCAAGTAGTTGCCTAATGCATTGTGATTAATCAAAGTGGAATTCATCTCAAGTGGATAAATTCTTGTATTTGACTGGATGATCTGAATTAAAGAAAAAAATTATGACAAAATATACACTCATTATTTAGCCTTACCAAACGATTATGTATTACACTTTTAATTATTCTATGCAATGTGCAATGTTTTAACATTAATATACTAGTATTATATCTTAGCCCTTACCAAAAACTGCCTCCTACAAATATTTGCTGCAAGTCTGCTGCAGACATTGTTGCAAACTTGCAGCAATGAAGCTAAAGAAGCCATGACAGCCTATACAAAGCCTTTCTGTTTGCACAAAGTTTACAGCAAACATTTTACCATGCAAATGAGGTCTGCAGCAAACAATAAAAGAATTTTCCAAATATGGAAACCCTGCTGCACCCTTGCGGCAAAATTGCTGCAAACATGCAAATATTACTGTAAATTTGCGACATACATATCAGTTATTGTTTTTGGCACATTTCTGTGTAAGCAGCAAGTTCGCAGAAAACCATTGCCTTGACCTAAGTTATATACTAATCGATCCCATTTGTTTGAAACAATGTAAGTTTCTGAAGTGTTATAGTCTTCTTTATGTTTCTAGACAATGTTTCCGTACTATTTATAATTAAAATGTAATATAAACTGTTTAATTCTGAAATAATTTTACACACTTTAAAGAGATAATTGTTTCATATTAATGTAGTGTTTGCCAAATTACACCTATTTCCAGAAATAGGATTTTTTTGAAATGTGGTAGATATTCCTAACAAAATACTAAAACATCTAAAGCTTCATTCAAACTTTTCAAAATAATAAATTCTGTGTTAACCTCAGTACAATCTTCGTTTCATGAACTGATATGACTTATTTAGTGATCTTGCTAACACTGCAAACATTCAGTTTGGTAAATGCATTCTACCAAATTGCTGTGAACAATAAATTGGCATGTATGCTTCTTGTAATGCTCCTGCAAACATGTTGAGTTCCTGCAAATTTGCCGCATGCTTGCGGCAATCATCTGCGAACGAGAAAATTTTCTTCCTGCGAACAATTTTCTTTGCTGCAAACTTGCAGCAGACTTAATTGCAGCAAACACTACAGTCATGGGAAATGCAATTGTACTCCTCTCGTTACAATCATATTTATGATATAATTTTATTACCCTTATAAGGAATTAATTCAAACTTCATTGTATTTATTTTTGTTGTTTACTATACAAATTAAAGGGGCTGATTCTTCCGAGTTACATATCCACTTGGACATGTGGCGTTGAACCCGTCAGTGCAAAAACGATAAAATCAATTAAAAAATTTAATACGATAGAACATCAAAGATCGTTTCCAGGACTACCCCCTGATAGCCAAAAGTAATATAAGTGCCTGCTTCCAAATAATTTATTTTTAATGAAAGCATTCTAAATCGGTATATGAAGGTGGTAAGAGTGATAAGTCAATTTCTAATTTCCATTCATCGCTACTTTCGAACAAATTTATCTTTGCCAAGGACTGCTTTCTCTCCCAGATTCTTAGAGACTATCAAATATATCTTACCACCCGTGTTTATTAATCTATATTTTGATGAGCGTTTGTCAAAAAATCAGACAATTTTGAAAACATCTGATCTCATCTATCATCTTTCATGTGGCATTTGTTTTGCTTTATTTCAAAAAATTAACATTGGTTTTGAGTCTTTCGACATTTCTGGTTTGTAGTAATGCGAAACATTCACTGTATGTTTATTTTTACAGGTAAAAGGAAAAAAACAGATTTTTTAACATTACCACAATTCTCTTATATGTATGTGATACTTATTTCGTTGAGGTACAAACACTTAAGTACGAAATAGTTTTTAAAACTGTGTCAAAATAGAAGTTGGATTATAACTCTCCATCCTTTTTTAGAATGAATTCAAAAAATTTCATTGTTGGCTTTAATTCATAAGCGTGTCATTTAGTGCCTTCACAGAATGCAATGTAATATGAAAGTTTAACATTCACGTGATCTAATATTAGCTCTTTCACATGTCACGAATGCCAAGGTCATGAGGAATGCAGAGGGGTAATTCATGTAACAGATCTTGCTCGAGCAAGAAATTTGTAAATTTTGAAAGTAAGGGAATTTTTTTTGTTCCTTGCTTAAATTAACATCAAATCTGCAAATATTCCTAATTCAAGGTCTAATTCTCAAGGTCATATAATGATTGCCGGATTTATTCTAAATATCTGTAGACCTTAGAGTAATTTTTTTCTTAAATAGAGCTGTTAGTAGTGATAAAATATGTTGACAACTTTTAATGAAACGCAAAGGTTTAATACAATAAAATATCTCTAAAGGAGACGGAAACGGATTGACTGTCAAAACAAGTCCTCAAATACCGGAGTGAACTGTAACTGTAGTACATCAGTTCTCGTTTCCTACAGAGTAAGGGAGGACAACCAATATATCATGTAATTGTTGCTTCCAATCTCATGCAACGGATGGAGGAGATCGTGAATACTGAGACAATAATACTTCTGCTTCGTGACGTCATTTTTCATTGCAAATGTCGAGTTTCCGGAGCGATCCAGCACTTGGATAGATTGTACACCAAAGTCTTTATGTTAGAAAGGGATAATTGAAAATTGATCCACCGTGGCATAGTAGTGGTGAGGGCAACACACGGAACAGAACAGGTGAAATTTCCGTCTGCACATAATCAACGATGGAAGGAATTTTGAACAATAAATGTAAGTCATAATATTATGTAGCCAGTTGCAGTTTGAATTGAATTTATATTAAAAACGTTTGATATATTACCAATAAGTTCATATTCTAGAGTGTGTATATGTAAATAAATGTTTTTGAAAAAATGAAGAAAAAATTCAATTATTAAATTAATTTCACATGTACATTGTAACATAGCAGAGCGCTTTTCAAACAATTATATATATTATTTTCTTTTTAGATATAAGTTATCTCAAAGGTTTTTATATTACACATGTATCTAATTAAAGCAAGACATTCACAATAGTGAAAGGTATTTCTTCTTTTCTCAGCTGCCTGAGAGAAGACAACGCGCAAAAAGACTGAGATATGTATTATGTCTTTAATCTTCCAAAACCTTTAGGACAATAATTTAGTTTTTATAAAGTGTGTAATTATCGAATTTTAAAGATGAACAAGACATTTTTCCGATCTCCTCAACCTTTCACAACACTAATACTAACTACTATTCTAGCTTTGTCGTTTTAAATGACATTAATCCCTTCTGAGATAAGATCGGATTTTGGAGCTCTCTGTTTTCTTTCATGTTCTGGCTATATATTCCCAGGCAGTGTTATCTATTAGACAGGTTGCTGTGTGATCGTTAATTACATAGGACTTGTTGTTTATGTGTCTTTTAATTAAGTAGTATTCTTATGTGAGTGTCAATGCCTTTTCTTTTATTATGATTTTTTTTTTCAAAAATGGTACTACCTTGCAAATTATTACAGTAACTGTTCTTCCATTTTCTTTGCCTAGTGAAAAATTAAAATACTGTAATAATATTTTTATATTACTCTATTCCATAATTGGAGCATCCCCTCTGTTGATGAAGTACTTAATTATGACTGGAAGTTTGTAATAATTCGGAAACTATGGTTTTCTTTGACTATTTTCATAAATTTAAGCAAGGCCAAATGCCATTAATTTTGTTCCAAAAGAGCATTGTTGTATAGATTTCTTGAGAGGTATATAAACATCTAATTCTGGCTGCAATGAATTTCTCACTTTTTGAGAGAATTTCATCGGAAAATTGATTGCTTTTGTAGAAATAATTTATCAGGTCTAATAGAATAATTAGGTTTTGACATGAAGCCCTATCATGGAACTCTTATCTTATCACATAATTACCTTTTCTATGCTTAGTGCTACAAAATCAATGAAAAGTAAACACTCATTTATTTCTTTTCTTTATTAATCAAAGTACTAATTTGTAAATTCCTCATTAATTTATGAGCAACTTAATTTTCCTTAAGTCAAGCAATTTAATTTTAATAAGATCTAGATTTTTTTCTTTTTAAACATCTATCCATTTTTGATGTCAATTGTTTTTAAAGAAGACATTTTTGTGCAATCTCTCAAAAATTGCATGTACAAAATTTCAATTGCAAGAATCAAAAGTTATCTATTCACTGGCATCGTTGCACAAAAAAGATAATTAAATGGTAACACGAGAACTAATTTATATAAAATATTCCACTTTTCATTTGGAAATTGAAATATCGATCAGACTTAGTACGTTTACTCCGGATTTACGTTGACAGAAACAGATTCTTAAAATATACAATATCATAGATCATAAATGGTCTTAATAACAAAGGTGAAGATAACGAACATTGTTCGATCTCATAAAACCTATAAACAATACACATTTGTGGGGTTGGCACAAAACAGGGACCCCTGGAAATACAAGAGGTGGGAGGTGCCTCCGAAGCGTAAGCGCCCCCTGTTCTGAACCTTATGCAATGATCAGTAGACGGAAAAGTCAAAGTTTCAAGTCGCCCGCGTGGCACAGTGATTAGAGCGTTTGCTCTAGAGTCGCGGAGTAGGGAGTTGATCCTTACGTCGCTGGTTCCAATCTCTCCGCGGGACGTGGGGACTGGTCCGTCGGATGAGCATATACAATCTATCATTAAGTCAAATGCTGACTGATGTTTTTCATACTAATTATCAGCCTATTTACACACTGAATTTCTACGAATTTCCCCTTTATTTCCCGATCATGATGAAATGCAAGGAGCACACGGCGGGTGTGATCGGTCGGCATGGGATGCTCACTCCTCCATAGCACTTGATCCCACGTTTGATGTTTTAGAGGTCCGTGTTTGCGCTGCTCCTGATTTGTAATATTAAAATGGACTTTTGAGCTTGAATACTGTTCGCTATCTCCATATTTCACCCGTAAATCGAGGTCCCGTGTCGCAGTAGGTGCTGGCACGAAAAAGATCCCTCATTGCTTAATTGGCCTGAGTGCCGAGTATAGGTCAAAATTTGCAGCCCTCCACCGGCAAGTGGTGGCGTCTCCATATGAGTGAAAAATTCTCGAGAGGGACGTTAAACAATCAATCAATCAATCAATCAATCAATCGAGGTCCCGTGTCGCAGTAGGTGCTGGCACGAAAAAGATCTCACTACTTAATTGGCCTGAGTGCCGAGTATAGGTCTAAATTTGCAGCCCTCCAGCGGCAAGTGGTGGCGTCTCTATGAGTAAAAATTCTTGAGAGGGACGTTAAGCAACAAAGAAACAAAAACAGAGTTTCAAAAACAATGACATAATAACTGGTATGAAATATGTTGGTTAAAAGACCTAATGATAGGTTGTATTTGCATACAAGATCATTGTAACGACAAATGATTTTACGAGATGCTGACATTAAATGAGGTTTTTGAAATCCCTTTAACATCAACTAATTTGGGAGATCTAAACATTATATGCAGATGATTGGTGAATATATTACTGCATAACTAAGGGAAGTTGTTTGTGGAGAAGCTGAGGTCATCATAGAGTTTAGTTGTTACATGTAGTTGTTCTTTGTCGTCCATAGACAGTAAAACATCCAAATATGAAGGAGGTGTGGCAGATTCTTTGGTGTCTTTTATTTCAACTTCACTGGTATATATCGAGTCGACATACCTGCATGAATGGGACTATATATTATTAAGTGATAAATCGTCGTCGATGTATCTGAAAAAATACATCTGTTATAAGTCAATATTAATATCAAAATTTGATATGTAACAATTGAAAGAAAATATACAATAGCAAATGTAGATATTTGTTATACCTTTAAAAATTAGTTCCTATATAAATCTATACTTAAAAAAAGTCTAAATTTCTAATGTTTTACTGAGCGGTCATAAAAAAAATCAATGTTTGACCGTAGAGTGAGATATTGGATCTGTGGAGGAGACATTAGACCGCTTACGTCACACTGTGACCGGGATTAGCAAAATTTTAATTGCATTCGTTGATATGGAAGCCAGCAAAAGAAACATGTGTTACAAATAAATAAATATAAGGTATAACAAAACATTTATTGACTGTGTTCTCGGGCAAAATGCGTTTTGTCGACCCTTCGAACCAAACTGTTTACCTTCGGCCCAACGGCCTCAGGCAAACAGTTTGGGTTCTTGGGTTCGCCAAAACGCATGTTGTCCTCGAACCCAGTCAATAAATGTATATTGCTAATACCTTGGAAGTTCGGATTTTTCCCTTAATTTGTCCTATAATATTAGATTAAAATTTGGTAAATTTAGAAAATCAACAAAGGAAATTCGGATTGGAATACTAGTAATTAACGTTTTCTGTTCAAACTTATAATTTTTCATTTAATATTAGCAGCACTATTATATTTTCATCATATTTCACCCAAAGAGCTTTGTTGTATAAACATTCGGTATTTTATTTTCTTAATAAGAAAAATATTAAAGTGTATAAATTTTGAAATATTTTTTTCTGAGAAATACTCAAAGGCCACTAACATGAAAAAAGTCAATCACTTCGTTAATAGCACTATGGTCATAGATCAACATTTCAAAATTAAAGTAGTTTTTAATTCCCTTTTTTGCATCTGAGTGAATGTAACCCTTAAATAGAGAAATGTTTCTAACCTTACGTATTTTAGCGGTAGTCATATTTTAGCGCCTTTCACTCTACTTTATGTCCGCTTATTTATTTACATACTAATACAGTCTTTGATGTTAACTAATACTTGTAGTTATCAAGACTAATGTTTGTGGTAATCAGTTAAAGAGGAAGATTGAATTAATTGAACTCGAAATACCTCTAGATGTACCTGTTAATGTCATTCGCTGGACTTTTAAAAGTGAGAATTCAGGGTCATGTTGCCATGAATAAAGAAGTCCTGTGTCATTGGAGTTGGTGAACATTTATGTTATTCTTAAATGTTGAAAATTATAAATAGCAATAGAATACATATCTGTACAGAAATGATTGATAAAAGTATATAAACATTACCCCTAAATGGACAGGAAGTAGGAAATATAAAACTGAAGTGTTCGGATAAGGTTACCTAATTAATTTCTCTATCTTTCATTCCATTCTTTGTAAACCAGCTGTAGAATTTTATGTCTACTCATCTGAGGTTCTGAAAGTCATATGATGTACAAAGAAAATCAATGAATAAAAATCTAATTCTGCTGTTAATGGTGATTAAAATTTTTATTTGGTATAAAATGTTTTTAGGTTGAAGACCTGGACGACAGTTTTATCATTGTCTCTCCATAGCAATAGAACCATCATTAGACAAGATCCTTTCTGGTTGCCGCTAAAACACACAATAAATGTGGCAGTAAAGCCGTATAATTTTCCTTTAAGACCTAGAGTATGATGTCTTTCTCTGCATTAACCACATTTGTGTCAACTGCCATAATTCAATAAAATCCTATTTTCAATCAAAATTAAGTGGTATTATACCTTAGCCATAGAATTAGTTTGCATGAAGAATACCTTATCGTATTTCAGCTGCATGCCTTAATAAGTAATTAATTAGATGATTATTAAAAATAAAGAAGGTGAAGAAGTAACGAACCGTTATCATCCTCATAAATCCTTCAAACAAAGCAAAGTAAGTAAAGGAAAGAAAGGAGTCTTGGAAACGTCAGAGGTGGGATTTCGTCCATAGGAGGAAAGAGTGCTCCTGTCATTCAAACCCACCTTGAGTTCTCTATATTGATCAGGCAA